TGGGGTGGGGCGGTGCGGGCAGTGCGGGGCCTGCCGGCCGGGTCCCGCTTGTTTCAATACACTGACAATATAACGAGGACAGGAGCCGGAGGCCCCATCCGTGCCGCCGGCACCGGGGGCTCCGGCCACTGGGAGCCGAACTCACCCAGGCGATGATGGAGAAGAAGGAGAAGGCGATGGCTGCGCGGGCGGCGTCGGCTCCTTGCGAAACCCCTTTGCTCATCGTCGTCCGTTGCCACTGGTTGGCGAGGAAGCAGAAAGCGACAAACCACAGGAAGGACAAGATGCCTGAAAGAGAGCGGAGCCGCTCAGCGCCGCGCGCGGGCCCCCCCGCGCCGGGACGCGCGAGTCGGGGGTGACGCTGGCGCTCGGGGTGCCCTTCCTGAGGACAGCAGCACCCAGGAGCAGCTGCAGCAGCAGCTCTGGCCACGTCCTTGCCCGGCAAGGGGAGCAGAGCAACCATCAGGGACCGCGCGGTGGCACCGGGGACACGGGGCCCCAGGGGTCTCCAGCAGCCCTGGGTGGTACCGTGGGCTGTTTGGGGGGTTCCTCTGTTCATGCGAGACCTGTAGCTGCATGTTTTGCTGTCCCATTCCTCAGGACAGCCGCAGTTCAGAAGAGCGAAGGCACGGGAATAGGAATGGACTAAACCATCCTGGGCACGAACCAGCCCTGGTATCTTTTCTCCCAGGAAAACGACCTGGCTGCTTGTCAGGGGTGCGAGAGCGGTGGAAAAGCCAAGGGCTGCTGCTGGCCCTGGGCTGGAGCTGGTTAATGCAGCAAAGGCTGCGCCGCTCCGGAGTGCCGCTGTGCTGGGCATGCACCGCGCATGGGGGGCTCGGGGCAGCTCCCCAGCCCCGCGGGGACACGGGGTGGCACCGAGCTCCGGGGGCACCTACGGCTGCTGGGGACAAGGGTGGCACCTTGCAGGGCACAGGGTGCCCAGAGAGGCCGGGAGCTGCACAGGGAGACAGCCCAGGCCCCGGAGACACACGTGGGACTCGAGGGTGACAGGAGGGAGCATGGAGCAGCAGCAGGAGCGGGAAAAATCCCCTTCGGACTTTGCAAACACGAGCTGGGAGCAGGGAGCACCAAGGCAGAGGCTCCCGGTGCCACAGGTGACAAGTCACGTCCCCCTTCCCGCGTTCTGCCCCTGAAACGATGCTTGAGACAGAGCCCCGAGGTTGTGGGGGCCAAGGGCCTGCCTGGTTCTGCAGACACCCGGGTGCTTCCCGGCGGATCACAGACCCCCAGCGCCGCCGGACGCAGCGTGACGGGCAGCGCGGCCCACCCTTGGCCCCGAGAAGCCCCGGCCTTCCTGAGGAGCTGAGGTCCATCAGCACGGCCCGCTTGCGGTCCTTCACGCTGCTGATCTGCTGGAAGTAGAGGTCCACGACGAAGAAGAAGATGCAGCTGAAGAAGGCGATGATGCCCACGGCGATGCCGTAGCTGCAGGCGCTCTCGTTCTCGTTGAAGACGCACAGCAGCTCGGGGTCCTGGCTGTCCCTGTTCACGTAGCACTCGTTCACGATGGAGCCGAACACCACGATGGAGAAGATCTGCGGGAAGGGGGAAGGATGAAGCCCGGATTTGCATTTCCCTCCGTTTTCCACCCGCACCAACGGGGGATTCGCGCTGCAAACGGCTCCAGGGGCTCCCGGCACGCGGCTCCCGGCTCCCTCCTGGGTCGGGTCCTGGTTCCAGCACCAGGACCCGGTTGTGGCCAGGGCCCGGCTGTGCAGCGCGTGCAGGGGACGTCGCTCTGGGGCCAGGGCAGGACCAAGCGGCCCCCTCGCCAGCGCTCACGAGTTTCCCAGGGCTTTGGCAGCAGCGCTAATAGCAGCAGTTGTAAAACTCTGTTCATAAATAATGCAAAATTGTTATTTATCCTCAGAAATAGCAGCAGCATTTATAAAACAGGCCCTGGAAGAAATAATGCGATTCTGGAAAACATGAATAATTGAGAAAGCACCGAGGCCCCAGGACTGTTTCCCTGGCAGCCCAAGGAACGTGCGCTTAGCTCCCTGTTTTGCTTAATCCTCCCAGGAATAGTGGCCTGGGATACGTCTGGGTGCTCTCGGTGCCCACTCGGAGCTCAGCGGGATGCTCCGGGATACTGGTGGGATGGGGATGCCCCACTGCACTGCTGGCCCCGGGACGCAGGATGCCAGCGGGATGGGGATGCTCTGGGATGCCAGCAGGATTGGGATCCTTCAGGATGCCTTTGGGACACCCGCAGCCTCTTCTCCAGAGGCCAAAATAGAAACCAAACTCAAGTGCATACACTCAAAAGCAGCACTCAAAACATGGGAGCTGGCTGAAATGTTCCTGTCAAAACACGCTTTTCAGTGAAGAGAGATCTGCCTATCATTTTTTTTCTCTTGTAACGGAAATTTTACAGATTTCCTGTTAAAAAAAAAATGATGCTGGTGAAACATTGTAATAGAAATAGATTTGGGGTTGTTTCTCCAGTGTCAGAAGAAGTTTCTAAGAAAGGTGGCTAAATGGGGGAAAACAAAACTCACACAGTTAAAAAAAGAAAAACAAAGCGTGAACAACCAGTCATTTTTTCCAGACACCTCTACAAACCCCCGGCTGGCGCCCGGCACACGCGGCCGCGGCCTCGAGCGCGTC